ATGGACGGAGGACCTATATTAACTTGCCAGTCAGGTTGACTGGAGATCAAGGGAAACCGAAGTGTGGCTGAAGGCCAGTTGAACTGATCCCTAAAATGTTCTGCCCATCGATCCAATCTCCTGGATTGAGAATCAATAATATGTTCATCTTTCTCTGAGAGTGTTTCGCTAACAGTCGGCTTCCTAATACCGGTCTCCTTAACAAGTCTGAACAATTGTCTGCTGTTACCTATTGCCGCTGCCCACCACTTCACGATTATTGTGTAGGCTTTTATCAGCTTGCGCTTAAGCTGACTCCGCTCTTCATTATGTTCAGAGCCAGGTGGAATGAGTTTTTGAGCATCAACCAGTGTGGTAGATGCTGCTGAGATCCAGTGTTTCTCCCTAACCTTGTGGTTTACCGTACTAACAGATATCACTGCTGTTTCCACAGCTTTTCGGATATCATTCCATGCTGCCTCGGGGTGGGCATCACATATATGGCTGCCTAACTGTTTTCCTAGTTGTTCCTGAAATATACTCTTAGCTTGACCATCATTACGTAGGCCCCTAAGAGGTTTCCTTGCAGCGTCTTTCCTACGTCCAGTAAGACGCAAGCAAATACGCGCTCGCACTAGAGCATGATCTGAATATGAGCACGTGCTCCAAAATGAGAGACAGTCTTCTATCGAGCCCCTTCATCGGTGGCTGATAGCGATGTGATCTATTTGGGTCCAACGTTGGGACGAATTAGGGGGTCGCCATGTTAAAAGATGTTTTTCCTTATGCTTAAAGTTAGTATTTGCAAGAAACAGGCGGTTATCTGAGCATAGCTGCAACGGACAGTCGCCATTATCTGTTCTTTGAGCCGCGACACCATAAGATCCACCCAGGTGTCTTTCCCCATTGCTTAGTTTACCTACTTGAGCATTAAAGTCACCGGTCACTATTACTACATCCGAGCGCTTAGCTTTTCGGAGAAGGTCCGAAAGCTTTCTGTAAAACTCATCTTTTACATCACCTGAGCTGCAGTCAGTGGGACAATAGGCAGAGACGACGAAGAGGCAACGACGAGTGTCCCTATCTTTTCGGATCCTTACTGTTCCGTTCAGTCGGACAGCGCACAAACGACTGTCTACTGGGATCCAGTCTAAAAGAGCTAGTTCTGCGGTAGGACTTAGTGCTATACGCCTAACAATATTCTTACTTATAAGTTTATTCAGCTGTCCACAACTGGCCAACACTGTTTTCTTTGTGATTTTTGTTGAATTTATGAATGGTAAGGAGTCAGAGTAGCTCAAACGCAAACTTATAAGGTATTTTTTCATTCTCCAAGAAGAAGGGTTCATGTTATAAAAATTAGAATATATCCAAGGAACAATGAACCCTCATGGCAGGTTTTGTGTTTAGCAATGACTGGTCTACTGAATGCTGTGAAATACAGTCAATGCATTTTACGGTAAATAAGAAAACACCGGTTTCGCTGGATAATACTCACACATATTTACAAGCAATCTAAAAGATTACATTAATGTATTAACTTAGCGCTTGCGTTCAAATGATGTGCTTTTGCTTTTGCTACCCAACGTTTTCCGAGCACGTGGACATCTGTTCCGCCGACGTTCAACCTCATGAAATAGATAACCTTCCGGCTAAAATAGAATGATCATAATTGGTTTATGAAAATAGATTGGGAAGTTTATGCATTAATATTATTTCAAGTCGACAGTTGACATGATGACGTTCTAAATCAAGACATTATAAAAGGATGTTGCATGATAACTTCGTCAACCACAAGTTTTTACGCATAACGCTGTTTAAACGTGAACACTGATTTTGCTGCACATAGGAAACACCAGCCACGAGACTAAGTGATTCGGCCTTAGGTTGTGTGTGCGGAAATAGACTGTTTAAGCACTTTACGCACCTGTTTTGATCAGGACAAATGAGTAAAAAACTAGCCTTCATACACATATAGTTTAAACTAAAACGCAAGTATTTATAATTGATGAATTAATAAATCGCACACAAACTCTAACCGACTTTGCTGTATACTGATTATTATTATTTATTTATTTATTTGAACACATAAATATTGGTACAAGAGAGCGCCAATATATATGCACCACACAAAACAATGAGAATTTAAGGAGAAGAAAAAAAAGAACAATAACGAAGAGGTTGGTGTGAGGTAGTGTAGTAATAGTAATAGTAATAATGAGGGAACGGAAAGATACAATTAGAAGAAATCTTTCAGTTAAGGGAGACACAACCACCTTTTATGAAGAAAGTAAAAGAAGGTTACAGCAGGATCGCCACTGACTTTTACTCTGAGCCATATCTGATAACGTCTCTAGCCACTATGTTACACCATCTCTCGGACCCCCAGTCAGGGAGTCGTGAAGGATCGACACAAGCCAGCCCTTTGCATTACTGACATGGTGTTGCCACTGGATGTCAGCAATCCTTCGGAGACAGCGATAATCGAACACAGTTTCCTAACGTCCTTGACTCGGAGAGGCCAGGTTTCACAAGCATAGAGCAAGACTGCTCTCACCGACGCGTTGTAGATCCGACCTTTTACAGCCAGACTAACATCACAAAAGCGCTAAAGGTGGCCCAGATTGGCATAAGCCGCTCTGGCTTTAACTATACGTGAATCGATCTCATCAACACCAGCACTTATGCAGCTACCCAGATACACGAACTTCTCGACTACTTCTATCTGCTCACCATCCAGGGCGAGTACAAGATTAGAATCCTGCCAGTCTTTTAAAAGTACTTTACACTTCAAAGGTGCAAAGCACATACCGTACCTACGAACGCTGATTGCCAACTGATTAGGTGCGGATTGCATCGCTTGGGCATTATCGCACAGTAAAACAATATCATCCGCATACTTTATTTACTTATTTATTTTAACACGTAGATATTGGTACAAGGAGGCACCAAGATAGGGACAACTATCGACTCATTCCATGACGTTGGTACACTCTCTAGTTCCCCGACTCTTGTAAACAACGTTGTCAGTTCCTTAACCAGAAGGTCACCATCATCTTCAAAAAGAGCCGGAGGTAAGTCATCTGGGCCCAGTGATCTGTAGCGCTTCAAGAGTTGGAGTTCCCTGCAGACTTCCACCTCATTTGGTGAATCAGTCGTCACCGGCCATGGAGGGCAGGACAGTCTGACCGATGTTGCCGGAGCAGCAGGCCAGTTGAACTGCCCTTCGAAAAATTCTGCCCATCGTCCAAGACGTCGATGGATGTTATTGATTGGCATCCCATCATCCTCGCAGATTGTTTTACACACACCAGACTTCTTGCTGCCAGTGGCTCGGATGAGTTGGAAGAGCTTCCAGTAGTTACCAGATGCAGCTGCTGCTTCCAACTCATTAGCACGCTCCGACCATCAGGCTTCTCGGTCCTTACACAAGCTTTGCCTAATTTCCTTACGTAACATCCTTCGTTTATGGTCAAACTCACGGTCACCCGGAGTAGACCGACGGGCTTCAATGAGTTGTAAGGAGCCAGAAGAAACCCAGTGCTTGTAAGCGTGACGTTTTGCGAACCCACAACTGACTGTACCCACCATTTTCATGGCGTCATGCAATGGCAACCAATGCTCATCTATACTTTTCGGTGGAGTGGTAGCTAGCCTAGAGGCTAGCTCGGTTCGATACTTACTTGCAACAGAAGTTGCAACCAGCTTGCTAACATCAATCCTTTGCTGGCGGTCACTTCGTTGTCCACTGAAAAGTAAGGTAAGATTGGCGCAGACCAAAGCATGGTCAGAGTCCAGATAGCTACTCCAAAAGGAGCGGCAGTCTTGTACACAACCACGCCAGCAATAGTTGATCGCGACGCGATCAATCTGAGTTCAGGCTTGGGATGCAAAGGGAGGACGCCAGGTGGCACATCGGCGATGACTGTGCCGAAAGTTAGTGCTAGCCAAAAACAGGTTGTGGTCTGTGCATAGTTGTAGTAGACGGTCCACGTTATCTGTCCTGCCACCACCGAGTCCCCATCGGCTGCCTAAACGACTCTCTTCTGTGCCTGGACGCCCGACCTGAGCATTCAAGTCTCCGACTAGTACTAGCATATCTGTCGAACGCACTTTCTGGAGAAGAACAGATAACTGGTGGTAAAACTCATCCTTGATTGCATCCGGGCTGCAATCCATCGGGGCATAGGCGGAGATGACGAAAAGACATCGTTTCTCACGCCGATTTCTCCTCAATTTGATGGAACTTTCTAATCTAACAGCAAATAACCGACTGTTAACGAGGATCCAATCGATTAGTGCTGCCTCAGCTCTAGCGCTTAGTGCGACACCAACGCCAGCAAGACCAGACGAAGATGCCACAGGGTCCCCGGATAAGCGCACGTAAAACAAGCTTTTCGAAGCGACAGATGGAGATCGAATCTGTAGTACTTCGCCAGAGTCTTGAATACGGGTCTCGGATAGACAACACACGTCGATATTAAGACTTTCCAAAGACATAGCCAGCCCTATCTGTTGTCTAACCTGCATAAGTGTGGGAACGTTGAAGACTGCCAGTTTGAATGTTGCATGTAGTTTCAGAAAAACTGCTCCAGTACTCATATTCAGTGGTAACGTACAATTTTCAACCGAATAGTGACTCGTGAACGTTTAGATACACTCGAATTTTCACCAAAGACGAGCCACTGTATAAGTATAAGAGGGTGAATAATATGGTTAATATGGTTAATCCAACTGCAGTTCAGTAGATCTACAAGACGAGTAAATCTTATAATTGTCTCGCAAAATAGATTATTGTGCCACGTGAGCACACTAAAGATCCATCGCTTTGAATCAAGTTTTTGACCGGCAACACGCATTTATATGCATTAGTCTGCGCTAATCAATTCCCAACCGTGTCTTTGATTTTGTCTTCATTAGGAGACAGATTGGATAAGTTTACAAGTATCTGTCAGTTCAGTAGAATAACTTAGTTAGCTATGATTAGGACAGAATTATAAAACCGAAAAAGTATGACTTACACACAACTTTCTCAATGATGACGATATCTCATTGGGCAACTGGAACGGTATGTTCAGATCAACTTTTTTCAGTTTACTACGGATTTCGCTTTTAGCTTTGGCTGCTGACTTTCGCCTTTCCCTGGTTTTCTTTTCACGTTTGATTTCCTTAAGCAACTTAGGTAAACTGGAAAAATAATCTTATTACTTCGTCTTACTTTTCGAGATCGTTTTTCATTTTTTTGTGAGGGTCCACTTTTTTAGGCTTTTTTCGAGGCAGAAAAATCTCATCAACGTCTTCACTACTTTTTGTAACATGAGACTCAGCATTTAATGACTGAAGGAACTTTTCCATATCTTTAAGAGGGTTCGGTGACTGGAAATATCAAGTGCGAACATCATTCTTACCGAGTTAACACCTCTTAGACTGCTAACAAAGCGCTCTGTTTTAAGCTCCAGTTTTTGCTTTGCAGATTCGATAGCTTTTATTCGTGAAATGAGGGATAAGTGATCGTGCAAAGTCGGGTTGTATGATTGTCCTGGACAAGGTAGGGAATGATTTCCTAGATTTTTATCGACTGCGTTTTCTAGAGTAGACCCTTTGCCAGAAGGCATTATTGAAGCTGGTACATCTAAATAATAATAAGTGTTAACAAAAACTGGACAACCTTCCCAGATATCGATCTCAATAAGTTTTCTTTTCTCCAGTTTTGGTTGCGAAGTATGCAACCTTCTGTCGCATGCGCTAGGGATATCGTTGAAAGGTTTCGCTGAATTCTTATCTCCCTTTACGATGTAGTCTGAATCACGGTTAGCGGATTTGATAAGTCACTCACTTTTTTTGTTTAGTGTTGACACTTGTGTAAAATCCTGGTCAATTCTGAGGTTTGTTAGTTTATAAGTACTACAACTTACATTCTTTTGTGGTGTTCTGCGTCTTGAATTTTAGCATCGATATCCTTGTAGCAATACTGCCATCGCCTTTTTTTATTTTTACCAAGACGTCTCATCTGACAAAAGTACTTTAATTGGTCGCGGAGGTGACCCTGACGTTAAAAGAAGCGCCGTCTGTGCTTGAGAGAACGAACATGTTTTCAGCTGTAGAGAAACAGATAATGATCTCGGAAAGCCCTATCTTCGTAAATCTTTGTTATTAATCTATCCGAATAATTCTTGTACAAAGTGGATGTTATGAGTCGAATTACCAAAAGCTCTTATGGAAAAAGAAAAGTATTGTTTTCTTGAGTCTTAGTTGCAAGGCTATAAGATCTTATTAACTTATAGGAAATCCCTCAATGTGTTGAAATGAGGTAATGTGTTGATTCCCTAGACACATCCTACATCTTGCAACCTGATCGGTCATGTTTAGAGGAAAATCAAACAATATACTAAGTTCAGTTTCATCATATCAGATTGGATATTATTTCAGTTTAGGATCCACTGTCTGTTTTCAGGTTCCTGTTTTTTGACAGACGGTTAGTAAGTCAGGAGTAATATTTGTTTCGTCTTCATTTTTCAGTGAAGTCTGTCTTTACATCTTTAGTCAGAAAATCTAAGGAATCGGTCGTCACCAAAAACATGATCCTGAAGATTATCTAAACGACACAGGATAAGACAGCAATGTTAGTCAATTATTACTCAAGAAACGACCGACTAATAAACAGAAAAGGGGTGTAAAAGCAGTGGAAAATTACTGGGCTCTAGCCAAGATGTCCGGCAGTTAGATCACTGAGTATCGAGTACTTCGCCGATTCTCGCCAAGTTCAAGGATGGCTAGCGCTCGTCAGTTAATTGCATGCTATGGACTTGCCCACGAAGTGGTGGTCATGTACTGTTCCTCTTACCTACTCACACTATCATGTTTCTGTAGTAACGTCGCTTGTGTTGTAAGGTTATCGAAGCAACCACAGTACCTAGATACGATAAGGGGGTAATCCATGTCAGGTACTAACTGCAAGGTGTGACTACGACATTGACTATTTGGTCACACTTTTCTCGTCTCACTCGAGTAAGCCTACAACCATTCGACACTCCATCTACGTTAGTGATATTTGAATGAATGTATTTAGTCTTCCGTAAAATTCGAAAATGATAATATTTACGTGGTTTAGAAATTTATAATGTAATATAGTGAGATCGTCATCCTATCTTCTATATCGGGCACATTTTACCCCAGGAAAACAACTTTGGATACTTACCAGTTAATACATACATATCGCGGATTTCGTTTCCCACATATCTTATGTAAGCCCCCAGCAACTGACATTGACGCGTCTTTATCTTTGGATTACACTAATTGAAATATAAATATTCCATCGATCGTTAGTCCCTTACTTTATAACTAAATGCCTTATATTTGAAATACATAGTATACTCATAATCTCTTATCCCAGTATTAACTCGGTTAATACTTCATGGTAACTATGTACTCAGATATTCCATTTAGTTAAACGAGCTTCCTACTCAGCTTCAAACTGTGGCAAGTAACTCTAGTGAGAGAGAAATTTCACTGACTACTAAGCCAACTAAAAGGTCAAGATCTGTAGCTACTGTATCTAACGCGAATGTCAAACCTGCTGAACCCTGTGCGTCTTATCCGTAAATATCACTTTCACTTATTGATTCTCCATGTAACAATCCCTCTATCTCTTTGTGCATTATGTCAATGCTAAGACTGGTTGACCTAAAATGCACCGCACTCACGTGCATCGAAAAGTCAGTACAGTCTATCAGACAGTATGCTAATCAGTTTATCAATTCGAGCAAAACTATTAGCTCAATAATTGCATACAATAGCGTAAAAGTCACTCCAGACCTAACGCTCTGTCAACGTCGTGTAGGAAGACGTGAAGCGGTATGAATGCATGATAGTTTTACAGCGAATAACCACCTAGAGACGGTTTGCAACACAGTAAATAATTTAAAGCGCATGAACAATAAGCATGTTTTCACTCCACAGACGAGAGATCATTCTGCAGATCTAAATGCGTCTTCAGAACAGAAACCTTTGCATAAGGTACGGATTACAACTACCACCAAAAGGCATAACACTAATTCTAATCCCAGATTTTCGCTCAGTAATATGATAAGATGTGAGCCGTGTGGCGACATATCAAACTAAACCTATCCATTTGAAAATTAGTCCTAAAGGTACTTCACAAGATGACTCGAAAGAACCCAAATTCATCTCAGAGACAACGAAACCCTCCAGCTCCGACAAAAAGGAGTGTGGATACAAAATCCAGGATGCCGAACTGGAAAATGCGTAAGATTAAACCCAACAGTTCCGTAGGTAACCCAGCAACTGAGAATAGGTTGTCCATCAACAGCTCTACGTTGAAAAACCGGTGGTAGGCCTGAGTATAACAACTATTTTTACACTCAAGCTAACAAAACTTTCGGAGTGCTTATCTTTCCTCTCACCCATAAAGCATAGAACCATTAATAAGCATGGTAATAATAGGTTTCTCGGCCCACATCTCATCTCCATTCACCAGGATTCCAACTGTAGTTACTCTCAGAAAGAAAACATTCCATATCCTTCAGTACCAACCCACTTCATAGAAATGGCCATCTTGTATAATAACATTCGGATTCTTCTGACGTTCACGCTAACGCAAATAGCTATAACCGAAGCTATGAGCTTAACTATGAAGACTATTTTCAGATAAAAGCACACTTCACAGTCGGCCTGTACCGGATTTTTTGGAATACGTCCCCTAGTGGCACCTCTGTTGAAGCATATGGCCCAAATCATTTCAAACCACATGCGGAACATAAACTTGCTACCTCCGTACGGTTTCGATCAGAGAGTACTCCCACCGTCTATTCCTGGGTAAACTCTCCAAATAACTTCACTAGCTCATTTGATATATCCTTTTCTAACTCTAGCGATCAAAATAACGAGTTACTGGAGAACAACCAATCTCTCACTTTAAAACCAAAGCACAACCTTGGAGGCTATGACAACTTTAATCGAGTTATTCTCACTTATTTTAACTTTGTGGGCCATCTGTTTAATATATGTCTTATCAACGCTAGGTCTATCTGTAATAGAAAAACCGATTTAGCCCTGTTTGTGCCCATTTACCATCCATCATTTTTGATTGAATCTGAAGCATGGACTAAGTGATATTTCCGACCTAAGTATATCTCTTAATAACCGTTTCCTAAATCAAAGAGATAGGTTGAAGGGACAAGAAGGAAGGTGCTTTATTGACGCTCACTTTAGCTTATACTCACTATTATGTGACATATCTGAACTAAACAAGCTGCAGGATTCAGCGTGAATTGCTTCAAGAATTTCGAGTTCCATTTCCTTACTGTCCGAGTATGTCTACCATCAACCTAACGCATCAATAGATGAGATAGCAATATTGTCTTCAACAGACTTAAAATTTCTTGGTTCCCAGTCATGGCATTGAAACGTTATGAATCAATTATTGAATGCCTAGAGCTTGGACAGTGGACTCAGTATGTCAGTAGCCCTACCAGACATCAAAATATCATGGACTTAGTCCTTGCCAGTGGCCTCACCACCAACGCTGCGTATATTAGGAAACGTCTTCAGGTAACGATCTTAACATTGTCAAACTCAAGTCTTTTGGAGTCAACAACACATTTTACTCATGGTTTGCTTCATTCTTAACAGAACGTAAAAAGTACGATGACTCTCTTATCACGTAGACCAATAGCTAATGGAGTCATTCAGAGGAGTGTATTAGGTCCACTCTTGCTTCTTACGTATATAAACGATATTTGTGGCACCATAAACTTTAGACCATCCGCCGATGATCTCAAAATAGTATACAGGTTTGACCCTGAAGCTCAAAGTGCAAGTGTAACCTTGATTCAAAGTGACCTCAATAACCTGACTATCTCGAGCAAAAAGTAGCAGTTGCCATTCAACCTCAACAAGCGTAGCACCATGCATTTCGGAAAACATCCCTATGAATTAAAACTTTATATGAATAAATGCACAGTTTAAATGCTCAAGTCAGTGCATGGTCTAGGTATTAAAGTTTGAAGAACATGTCTCGTTCATTATTTCTAAATCTAGACGGCTAATTGGCTTCATAATAATAAATTTCTTCACAACAGAGGCCAATCTTACCCTTTACAAGATATGTATACGACCCTCTCTCGAATATTGCTTTTTTATTTTCTCAAACATGAATACCACACACAAGTTAAGAGTAGGTGTCCAGAGACGCTTCACACACCAACTGCTAGGATGTGACTCCAATCTCAACTACAGGGATAGATGTAAGCACCTCTCCTTAAAACCTTTATGGAACTGTCGGCTAAGGAACAATCTAATATTGCTCTACAAAGCAATATATGGACTCTCATTTCCAACCTCCTGCCCAACCATGACCCATGACCCGATCTACAGACTCAGAAACAAAGCATACACCCTGCCTACAGTGAAACACCGAAAACCAACACGTTGTATTTTTTTTCAGTGGGGTATAGTTTATCGTGGAATAGGTTGCCAATACCTATCCGTAACTGTGAAACTCACCAAGTTCAAAAGACCTTGTTGCTTGACATTACCGAGCTTCATCAACTGAGCTTCCGCCTACTAATTAGGCACTTTATTCGGATCGTGTAACCGTATAGTTGGAATGTGAGATTCACTCTTCCAACATAAATAGGTTTCAACACAACATATGATAAAAAAATGTGATGCCTACTCAAAACGAGGAATTGAACGGAAGATTTTGTCCAACTCTTAACAACTCGACCTAAATTCTTGCATTAGCTACGTTTTACAATCGGCTTCCATATGAATGTCAGTTTGTTCAACTTATTGAGTAAAAACATTTCAAACTGGTTTTCTCAACCTAACATGGAACCATTAACTCGTTCAATGTTTCACCTCTTCGCTTTCATAATCAATAACGACCACCTTACGTATGCCTGTTATTCCTTGTAGGATTTAATTGCTTACGCCTGTTACTCCTAATGGAGCATAGGCCGCTGACCAGCATTCTCCAACCCACTCTGT